AGGTAGAACAAGAGCTTTTGTGCTCAGAAGCCTTTTTTTTTTTTTTTTGGGGGCTCTTGGAAACAGATGCTCTGGGTAATGGACTCATCATGAGCTCATCCTGCCGGGGAGGAGGGCTGAGCAGGATTGATGGTGGGGACGACAAAACGTTTTCTTTCCGACACCGCCTGCGATTCCCACCGGCCCCTCCTCGCTGCCATCCGAGGCGAAGCGGCAGCGCGCCGTGGGGAGGAGGTGGTGCGGAGGGGTTGAAGGTCTCACTGGTCAGGCAGAGGGGAGAGATGGGAGCATCTGGGTGTCACCACGTCCAGGCACCAGCAGGATGCTGAGCTCTGCCTGCCTCGTCCTGCCCTCTCGGTCCTGGGACCATTCATGGGCGCATCGTCCACCACTGACCCTTGGGGGGCAGGGAGGGGGCAGAAGGACATCTCTGAGACATCCAGACCGCAAACCTCACAGTTGTGAATGGTGCAAACGTCTCATCTCGGGGGGGTGGGATGTATGGGGGGGCAAGCTCTTTGACTTAGTCCTCTCGAAGATCCCTTTTCATGTGTGTTCTCGGTGGAGGCTTGCTCCAAACCCAGGCTGTTGCAGGTCTCTTCATCCCCATCACTGTCATCTCTGGCACATCTCCAGCCACAGCTGGAGCCCAGCACACTTTCCCCTGTAGCACCTGGAGAAAGGACCTGGACTGATGCCCCCAGGCGCTGAGGTTTGCTGTCAACTCATGGGACAGGTCCAGGGAAACCTCCTCATTCTTCATTCTTGGTCCTGGGCAAGTGGGTGGCGGCAGCATAGCTCCTGGGGTGTTTTGAGGCTGTTGCACTCGTTTTTGTTGAATGAGGACTTCTCCCACCCCTTCTATTGCTATTGACTTTCAGGGATTAGACAAGATGTACCAAAGGCGGGTGACATCAGAAGTGTGCTTCAGGCTGCCCCAAAGTTCTTGTCACAGGGGTTCATAAAATTGCTGCTTTCCTCCACCGGTTGGCCCAAATCAACTAACGGCCTGGGTAATTCGTACTTTTGTAGGTAGTTGCTTTTGCCTCGCTTTTCTTCATCCTCGTCTCCATCACAACCTTCTGCCTGGAGACGCACGAGGCGTTCAACATCGATGTCAATGTGACGGAGACCCTCGTGGTTGGCAACACCACGACGATCCTGCTGACACATAAAGTGGAGACGGAGCCCATCCTCACCTACATCGAAGGGGTCTGTGTCCTGTGGTTCACCCTCGAGTTCCTGGTTCGCATCATCTGCTGTCCAGATAAGCTTCTCTTCGTTAAAAACCTGCTCAACATCATTGACTTTGTGGCCATCTTGCCCTTCTACCTGGAGGTAGGTCTCAGTGGCCTGTCCTCCAAAGCTGCCCGGGACGTACTGGGCTTCTTAAGGGTGGTCCGTTTCGTCCGGATCCTCCGGATCTTCAAGCTGACACGGCACTTTGTGGGTCTCCGGGTGCTGGGCCACACTCTCCGGGCCAGTACCAATGAATTCCTGCTCCTCATCATCTTCCTCGCCTTGGGGGTCTTGATTTTTGCCACTATGATCTACTATGCTGAGCGGATCGGAGCCAAGACGTCCGACCCCCGTGGGAGCGACCACACTCACTTTAAGAACATCCCCATCGGGTTCTGGTGGGCCGTGGTCACGATGACAACCCTGGGCTACGGCGACATGTATCCCAAGACCTGGTCAGGCATGGTGGTGGGGGCTCTCTGTGCCTTGGCTGGGGTGCTCACCATCGCCATGCCGGTGCCCGTCATTGTCAATAACTTTGGGATGTACTATTCGTTGGCCATGGCCAAGCAGAAGCTGCCAAAGAAGAAGAAAAAGCATATACCCCGTCTGGCCCCGCTGGACTCCCCTACCTACTGCAAATCCGAGGAAAACTCCCCCTGTAACAGCACCCAGAGTGATACTTGCCCCTTGGCAGTAGAGGAGGGGGCAGCTGAGCGGAAACGGTCAGGTGAGACCCCAAAGGTGGGGAAAAGGGATGGGGAGATCTCCAGGAGCCCGGAAGGCAGCGCTTGTGGTCCCCTCTGTCCCACAGTCCCTGGAGACTGCTGTGCTGCAGGATGTGGCCCTTGGCTCTTGGGGTGGTGAGAACTTGGTGCAGCAAGGGCTGGGGCCCTTGGGTGCCTGGGTATTGGGTGCTGCATTGGTAGACCAGGATGCTGCAGATCAAGATGCCCCTTCAAGCAGGAGAGGGATCCAGTGGGAACCCCAGGGGAAAGGCCATATCCTGCTCTCCTAATGGCATAGATGAAGTCACCGTGGTGTGATTCAAGGTGTCCCTACCTTGCCCACCTCTTCCTCACCCTGACAGAGGTAAGACCATTTGCCCAGTTGCCATCTTAGCCTGGTAATGCCCTTGAAGTAGGTTTTCTTTTTCTTCCTCCCGCTGTAAATCAGGTCAAACTTCACCAAAATGGATAAATCCATGGATATTCCCTGGGGCTTGACCCCAACCTCCCCATTCATCTTCTAGTAGATGTAGCATCCCTGTATGGCAAGGCCAGTGCTGCTCCAAGTCCTGTGCTCAGGCAGGAGCAAAATCAGCCTCCGTGCATTTGTTATTTGGTCTCGTGCACTGAGCTGAAGTTTGGGGCTGGGTCAGGAGAGGGCATGGCCCCAGCTGTGGGCAGTCGTCGGTGGGCAACATCGCTTGGGCTGAGCTTGGGGGACTGCGAGAGCCCTGCCCACGGTGTCGCTGCTGGCCACCGAGGCTGGTTTGCCCTTTTCGTCTTGGTTTGCTGCCAGCGGCACCTCCGGAGCAGCCGGCTTTGCAGCGCGGAAAGAGGAGGGACCACGGCGGGGTTGTGTCTTGCACCGACGCGGCATTTGCTGAGGTCAGATCTGGCCACACGCGTCTAACAATGATGGTCCTTCACCCGTGGGGCACACCAGGAGCTCCAAACGCCCCAGATAGGTGTTGCCCCTTATAAATCTCCCTTTTCCATGTGCCTACACATCCCGTCCGCCCCAGGAGCCGCGGCAGTGGGGAGCAGTGAGAGTAGCTGTCCTGCTCTGGAGGAGCAGGTCAGCCCCATCCCCTCAGCCCGACGCCGATCCAGGAGCTCAGGCCAGACCCTCACCGGGCATAGCATCCCCTCAGCTAACGAACCACCCAGTCAGATGACATAAATTAGCACTTCACCACTGACTTGAGCAGCCCGTATCTCCGCAGCATGAATTTTGGAGAGCTAATTCCCACCAGTTAGGCAGGTGGACCCCAAAGACCAGGGGTGTTTCTTTCCTGGCAAACCCCGCTTGGCTTCCTGCAGCGTGTACAACCCTCAGCAGGCGTAAGAGCTGCTGTTTGCCGTTTGGGGTAAAAACCTGGCACGGTCCTGCTCCCCTGGGTCACTCTAAGTTAACAAGTCCGGGCTGGGATTTATACCTAAATTTGTGGGTGTTGCTCTGGGCCATCTGCAATTCTGGTCTTCTGCTTCCTCGCACGGTGGAAGCAAACCCTCCCAGCCGCCCCGAGCACCTCACCCTGTGGGTTTATTGACTGCTGATGGGTCTCTGCCACTTTTTCGCAGACTCTAAGCAGAACGGTGAGGCCAACGTGGTGCTGTCAGACGAGGAGCAGCCGCTGTCACCGACCGATGAGGAGAAGCGACCCATGCGGCGTTCCAGCACCCGGGATAAGAACAAGAAGTCCTCCACGTGCTTCCTGCTGGCCACGGGTGACTTCTCCTGTGCAGCAGATGGAGGCATCCAGAAAGGTATGGCCGGTGCTGGAGGTGTGGGCTGGGGAGGGCGAGACGGACGAGTGAGGCAGAGGTTTATTGCGTCTGTCTGAGACCGTGGTTCATCTCCATCTGCCTGCCTGGCCGTTATTCTCTGCTCCCCAAATCCACTTGTATTCCTGCCTCTCCATCTGCTTTATCTCCGTCCACCACGTCGCTCCGTGCTAGCTCTACCCTTTTTGCTTTCTCCTCCCCCAAGTCCTCCGCCCCCGATTGCCATTATTTGGGGTCTGTGACCCCATGCTGGCTGCGCTGCCCTCCTTGGGGACGGGTCTGTCCCTTTGCTCCCCGGTGCTCCATCTTCTCCTGTCCCTCCGGCTTTTCTCCCTGGGCTTCAGTCACCCGTCTCGGGGTGGTGTGAGGGGGACATCTCTCCTGGGAAAGTGCTGAGGTTGTGATTGAAGGTGGTCAAAAGGTTTTCAGAAGGGGAAAAAAATCCACAGCCCTTTCCTTTCCTCTCCCGCTCCGACGTCTTTTTGGTGGGTTTGAGCGTGGGGAACCGCGATGTGTCAAGTTCTGCCTTGCCAAAAGCACCGGGCTGCCAGAAAGGCTGTCTCCTCTGGGTTTGGAAAGGGAGCTTTGCGAAGTGTTGAGGTTTTCGATGGGAAACTGTGGGGGACATGAGTCAGGAAAGCACAAAACTCTTCTTCCCATGACAAAACAACGGTCCTCTTCAGCCTGGTTCCTTTGTGCCGTCCTCCAGCCTTCTCTGCTCCACCAGTGAGCGTGCCCTGTGCCTCTCTCCCAGCACCCCAGGCCCCAGGAGCGTAAATCCAGCGCCTACCTTGAGCCACAAAATCCAGCCGCACCCTCAGCTGCTGGGATAATTCTCAGGACATGGCTCCGTTTTTCAGTTGGGCACTTTTTCTCGTGTGTCCAGGGTAGTGTGGGATGATGTAGCTGCAGAGCTGACCTACCTCTACCTCCTTGGTACCATCTAACACCAGTTACGCACAGGAACGGTGCCTATGAGCTGGGACCAGGCAGGAGAAAAGGCGATGTGCTTCGTCTCTGAGCTGCACACCAAGACCTGCTGGCTCCTGGTGTTGCTGCTTTGGAGGCCATCAAGGCTTTGCTGCTGTAGCGCTGCTTGGGCTGGTAAAGACTGGATGGGCTTGGGTTATAGGGAGGTGTTTGGGGGCAATCACATTTATTACATTAGGAGAAACAAATGGGTTGCTTCCTCCTGGGACACCAAGGATTGCCTTTGGTGTTCCTGCTCAACCTCGTCCCTTAGAAAGAGGAGGAAAAAAGAAAGAAAAGCTTTGCTCGTCTTCGGGCAGAAGGGTTCTATACAAATATTTGCTTGAAAAGCCTCAGGTTTTTCCTGGAAGTGCCTTTTTCCTGTGAAGTTGCTCTCTCGTCTTACTGCCTGCAAAGAAGTGAGGGGTCTCTAGTCCTGCCCCAGGCTGGGGGGGATGCTGAACTGGAAGGGAGGAAGGAAGGGGATGAAAGCCGGTGCTGATCTTCATCCTTACAAGATGCTCAAGTCAGGCATCTCTTCCACTGAAGCATTTGAGCTCCAAAGAGAAATCCCCCAAAGAGATTTGGGACCACCCGCTGAAGTGAGGAGAGCTAAAGCGGATATCCTCCTAATAGCTGAGGATCCGGTGCTGCTCTCGCTGGGCTCCCAAACCCCATTACTCGGTTGCAGGAGACCAGGAGGGTTTTTTAAAGCACGGTGGCAGCAATAGGTATCGAAAGGGCACTTTGGTCATCTTTCTTGGTTTGTGCCGGTGTCCTTCCTGCAAATGTCAGAGTGCTTCTTACAATTAAAAATAGATGTGTACGTGGGTCGCTTACGCCCCGCCTTGCACCCAGAGAAATGGTCTTGCACCCAGAGAAAGGTGGATCTGGTGTCCAGAGGGGCTTGAGTGATGCGTGAGACCTTTTGGGAAGAGGGAACCTCAATATCTGCGTCCGCCTTGGGCTGTTGGGCAGGGACCGGTGGGATGCTGTCCTGGGAGGGAGAGCTGATGTCTTCTCTGGCGAAATGCTCCCGCGTGGCCAGGGTTAGGGGTGGCCGGAGAAGATCAGAGGGGCAAGGCAGCCTCCTGCACTCCAGCCGAAAGCCGTTGGGAACCGCAGAGGTGCCTCTTCCCTCGGTCCTGATTTATCTCCTGCTGAGGCTGTTTGTTCTGGTACTGGGATGTTGGCAGCTCTGCAAATTGAGATGAGCTTGGTTCTGAGCCCGACTTGCTGATGGCCATCTGTCAGATCCTGGGACAGGTACTGATGTCTGTACAAGCTGTGGAAATCGGGAGACGGAGCTGGTTCAGGGATATGCCGCAGATCTCAGCATCCATCATGGTTCGAGCCCGATTCCAGCGGTTGATCTCATTGGGGCAGCTCAAAGAGACGCGTCACCCCTGCCCACCACCCCTTGGACCTGGGCCCTGGAGAAGACGGAGCCGGATCGCAGTGGATTGCCACGTGGCATGTGTTTCTTGTCCCTCTTGCTGCTTCCGGTCGTGTCCCCTTGCTCCCATGCTGCTGGGCACGGCTTCAGACCCCTTATCTCCCTTCAGCACTCAGGTCCTGCTCAGCGGGTCCCCGAAACGTGTCCTGCTGGGGCCCAGACATGTTGGCATGGGTCTGTCTTGGCACGTGAGTCCCCACCCTGTGCTTGGATGGAGGGACACGGAGGCAGGGTGAGTCCAGCATCGCCCACGCCAGCGCGACTGGTTATGACGGTCTGGGAATGACGCGGCATTGCCAGGTCCCGGGGAAGAGCCCCCGGGCGTTACGTGCTGCCCCACCGCTCTCTTTATAAGACGCTTCTATAGGGCTCCTTGGCAACAAACCCACTTTTAAAGCCACGCCAGTGACCGCAGTTAGCACCCGTTCCGTTAACGAACAGCACCGGCGGCAATTAGCGGAGCGCAGCCCTCGGGCGCGTCGCGGCTTAAAACGGCCCCGGAGCTTGGTGGGAAACCACGAGGGCCGTGAGGGAGGGAGCCCGGAGTTCCTCCCCAGCCGCTCCTGTGAGCATGGCTTCGTGTGCCTTGGGAGTTAATTGGCGGAGAAAATGAAGCGCTGGGCTCGGGGCAGGTTTGCCCTCGGAGTCCTGTTGCAGAGGTGCCCTGGGGGAATCGAGCATCTTTATAAAGCGCCGCTCCGAACTTTGATGCTTGAGACTTAATCAAAACCGGCAGCGCGAGCCTGGCCCTGTTCCTGCGCCCGTTTCCCCGCTTTTCTCTTCAGCGAGCTGAGCAAGAGGGCGAAGAGCCTTCCTCTGAAGTGCTCAACCACAGCAGCCGGTCCTTGTATCACCAAGGCGGCTTCTAAGCAAGCCCCGACCCCGTAACACCTCCCTGCCAAACTGATGTTGTTTGGGTGCTGGATCCATCGGTGACCCCAAGCTTTGAGGGACCGGTTGCATCTCGGCACGATTGCTTCCCGCGCGCACGGCTCAGGCTGGCGGGGAAATGTGTGAGCTCCTCAGAGAGCCTCGGCGCTCCCGGGAAGAGGGCAAGGTTTGCTGAAGGATGAACCCAATGCAGGGTTTTTTGAGGGTTTTTTTCTGGGGAGGGGGAGCAGGGGGTGTTTGCATCACTTTCTGTGGGTGGGAAACATCCCCAGCTCGGATAGGGCTTCCCCCCCGGCTCAGGGCTGCGCTCGCTTCCCTCCTCGCTCGCTGCGTGGATTTGTGCCAAAAAGTAAATAAGGAAACTGCTCTTCGGGGCCTGATTCTGCTCTCGCTTCCACTGCGGGACCTGGAAAAGCTTTGCTGAAGTCAGCAACAGGCAGGCAGTCCTCTGTCCCCCAGCCCTTTCCCTGCCTCAAAGCTGGAGGAGTCTCCTGGGGGGGCTGAGTTATGGGGAGGGGTTGAAGATGCCCGTGCCCACCCTGCCGTCTGCTGCGGCTGGGAAACGAGTAGGAAAAAACGTATAAAAAGGGGATAAAAATCCTATTTAAAGAGGTAGTGCTGTGGAACTTTCCCAGACAATGCTCGTGTCTCAGCGTCCTCCTCGGGTGTGCGTGGAGGTGACGCTGCGATGGCTCCGGAGCGAGCGGTCAGCTCCGAGCCAAGCCCCGAGCAGCCTGGCCTGGGCCAGCACCCGCTGTCAGTGCCTTCGCCTCAAAGCAGAACCCAACGATGTGCCGTGAACTCCTCGGGGGGGGACACGCGGGGACGGTTTCCCAGCTTGGCGCTGCCGAAGGGGCCATCCATCACCTTGTTTTTCTGCTGTCAGGGAGCCGCTTCCCCCCGCTCCCCGCTCGCACGCGCACGTGCTCGCTCGCACGCGCTTGCTTCC